ACGTAAGACTTAGTACATTAGGAAAAATAAATACTTCCACAACTGCTTATTTCCTAGTAAACATCTGCATTAAAAATAAATACATACATGCTTAATAATTTGCTTTGCTCTCTTATGCTCTTTGAATACTTTATAACCAGCATTCAAAGCTATGTTTTCAAAAAAATCTATATTCTTTCAAATACATGACCTTAGTCTATTTTACTCCCTCTGTAATGCTGAAGTAATAATTTTCCCTCAGTTGCTGCAAATCAAACGAAATAGAAAATTCTAACTTCATGACAATAAAGCATAAAAAATTCAATACACAAAACTATAAAAGAATGTATTACTACATGCTTGCTCTAAATTGTGGGATGAAGAAGTCTAAAGCCTTTTCAGAGACTTCTTTAATCTGGTCAAATATGATTCTGTCCCATACATAAACAATATTGTAGTTTTACTCTGCTTTTCTCAATCTAGTACTGAGATATCAATTTTATCTAATGCACTATATTTCTAAGTATTACACAAGCACATCTTAAAGTTTAACTGAAGCTACAAAAGTTTTTTTTTAATACCGACAGTTAAGAGCTCAATTATTTTTTGAGAAAAGGCCAAGTCTTTAGAAGTGAAGTAATTTAGAAGTCTTCCCTTGGAAGATTTTAAACTAGATTAGCCCATGGATTCTTCTTTAAAAAAAACTGTTCTACATATTAAAATACCCAATTCATCTTAATTTTTTCTTTTACCAAAATGGAATAGATAGTAATAATATGCTAGAAGCACTTTGTGTGTACAATGGTACAATCATGTACTTACTCTAGAGTATGGTGCAAGACGGAAACCTTTACCTATTACATACAGAAGCATCTGAAATATACTTCCTCATCCATGTTTTTACTAAATATGGTTAAATTCTAAAGGGAGTTATTAGGGAGCTATTTTTAAAAGATTTGCATTAGTGAGTTATGGCCTCACAAAAAATAATCTAAACTATATATAGATATATAAACATCTAAACTATATACAACTTCAAAAGATCCACAAAATGAAACAAAAGAAAAGCATCTTTACATAAATGTTTTCTAAACCAAACAGTACAGGTCACCTCTAAAAGTAAAAATTAAAAGCTTAAAATTATTTTCTGAGTTTAGTAGAAAATGTATCTTTCACATTAAGCTTTAGAAACGCCTGTATTTCAAAATTATGTCTTCAATTTCAAGCAAATATTTTCAATATTTGATTACTCCTTAAGATTGAGCAGTATATTGTTATAGGTACCCTCTCGTTTCATAATACTTTAGTTTCAAGTGCACATTATAACTTCTTTCACTGAACTCTTATGTCTTTTTAAAAGTTCTCTGTCTCCATGCCTTACATCAAACCTCTCTTCATCAAATATAAAACATTAAGAACCCTCTATATTTCACTACTAGTCCAAAATTCAATTACAGTTCATTTGAGTAAAAAGATACTCAAAATCCACACTTTTCTCCAATTACAGATACAGCTTCCTTACTGTCATTTGTAATGTTACAATCAGGCTTTGCCTCATTTGAGTAAATGTTTTCAATTAACTTTTCACTGTTCGACTGATTTGTAACTCTTGACTGTGCCACTCACTAATCTTGTAAAAGGTAAAAATGGAGGAAGTATTTAGTTCAATAAAACTTACACAGATGTATATGAAAGAATTTATAAAAGAAATTCACTGTAAATTCAAAGAAATAAGAAGTGCATCACAAAAGGATCACAAGACAGATCCTTTTTTGTGGACAAAGCCACAAAACCTAAATTTTCAGTTCTAGTTCATGCTACTATACTGAAATGGTCTAGCTTTATAATCTCACATCACCGATTAAAAAAAGCACTGTCTTGGCATGTCTATGATATATACAGACAGCAACTATTCGCACATATAAATGTAGGGAACATGTCAATGTTTCAGACAACAGCTAATAATTGGAGATATTCTAACTTGAATCACTTTTTTTGGTATAAAACTATAGTCACTAAGGCAAACTTCAGCCAATAATGAACCATTATAATTTATCAGAATGAAAGGTACTTTTTTAAGAAGAATTTTAAATCCTTTGACAGGCAATTATTTCAAGGTTTTAAACCATATGAAGAACAGGTTACGGTAAGACACTGCGCATCTACCAAATAATCCCTCAGCCATCCAATACTACACATAAGCAGCTAAAATAGAGATTTTAAAAAATGAACCTCCATTAGTACAACAGAAATAACTAGTTAAACAATTCAGTATTTTTTTTATTCCAGATTTATTACTAAATACTCTGCTCCATTCTTTGAAATAAGAAGTAATTGCTTATCTTCCTCTAATCCTTACTCAGTTAGCAAACCCAAAGTGAGCATGCCACATAATTTTAGAAAAACCTACAATTTTTAAAAACAGACTGTTCAAGAGTCATGTAACCAGCCCTGTTTGAAATAACACACAGCAGGAAAAGCCAGAAGGTCCTTCAAGATTATCCCTTAAATCTGCAGTTTCAGCAGTTGCATATTGCCATTTAACTTAGCGATCAACTTTCACATTCAGAAAAATCTTTTCTATAACATCCCCACAAACCTCTCTTCTCTTAGCAGCAGATGGGTAGGAAAGGGTGAAAATAAAACCCAGTAATTACAAAACATTTGTTGAGTGAGGAGCAAACATGGTGACAATGATCACTAGTTTTCTGAGAAAGTTTTGGCTTTAATAATAGTGCCAAACAAAATGGATATTGGAAAAATACCTTTGTCTTTCCAGCTAAACAGCTCTTGCTTACAAGGAGCCCTACCAACTTGCATTTAAAATAACACTCTATTTCTGCTCCCACAGAGGAGTCCTATATGATGGTACAGGCAGCAGAAAGAAGCACTCCAGGCTGAAGAGCGCTTCTCTTAATTTGTGCCTGCAGAGGAAAAAGGATTCTGAAAACTTTCTATGACATAGCAACGCTCTGTGGATCACATCCCTACACACCTTTGGCTGCACAGCGGAAAGCTTATCTGGTAGCTACCATCTTATTACAGTCCCTGAATTTACTCTCATCAAAAGAAATACAGCTTTAAGTACCAAAAAATAATACTAAAACAAAAATCAAATTTACTAATACTTTACTGTCATTTAGTAATTATCAAAAATAAGCCTCCACAGCACTTTAGAAGCAGTGGTCACCCAATTTGAATAAAATTGCAGCTATTTATAGAAATTATTTGACAAAAAGCAAATTTTAAATTCATAATCTCTTTTAAAAACTAATACAGTAAAAAGGGCAGAAGATTTAAGAAAATATTTTTCAGAGAATTGTGAACAAAGGATTAGAATATATGAATCTCCTTTTCTCCTCCCATGCAGGATTGCTATTCTGTTTCCAAGCCTAATTATGAGGACACTTTATGAGAGAATTTGTTGGGTTTTGGCATGTAGTATACTTACTTTTGGCCCAGCTAAATTACTACTAAAAACTTTTCATGTAGTAAACAAGACATTACCACTAATTTTCTACTGTATTTTTTAGTTGCAACTTTAAAATACAGTTCTTCATGACATTTTCTCATCCCTTATGTCCTCAAATGTGGTATGTAACACTCCAAGAAAAAGCCTGAAGAAAACTACTTCACTGCCTTTGTCACAGTAAAGCACAGTATATGTCACTCCCAGGATTCCTTCCCATAACAAAATGGATCTTCCTGTATCTTTTATTTCTTGCCAACGATAGGGCTGAAAAAAGCCTTTATCTTGCTGTGGGCAGTTAAAAACTGTTGCCATCAGTTCTCATCAGTATAACTGTATCAGCGATTGCTGTAACATCCTGCCTGTACTTCACAGTCTGGTAGTGAGCAGGATCTAGGAGTAACTAGCAGTAGTAGCTCATCTATGTATGAGACACACACAGTTTCTGATGAGCTCATGCAGGCTCTCTGCCTCCGATCTGGAAATAAAAATACAATCTGGCACACAACCCATTAAATTGTATCAAATTCTACAGTAAATCATATGCTGTAATTGATACTAAAATCAGCTATTCTGCGTACAAGACATCTGCACCTGGGACATATCCTTATCCTAAAGCTATGTGTTGTTTGCATGTATCATTGATTCTGACCTCTCTCATAACTCTGATTCCTTGAAATAAATTAAAAGATGTATTTTGGAATAATCCTTCCAGTTAAAAACAGTTATATCTAAGCTAAAGAGGAAATCATGTCTAGAAAAATCTAGTTGAAGTGCAACAGGACCTAAATACAACACTACTTTTTAATCTGAATTTATTATCAGATCATTTTAATGAAAGCTCAGTAGATTGAATTAAAATCCACTTTCTGGTTGCTAAACTCCATTATTCTTCTTTCAGGTATTGTGAGCAGTTTCTACAGCTTTGCAAAGAGGCCACAATGCCAGCTACAAAGTCAAAATCAGCAGAAGTTGTGGTCAACAGTAGCTATTCAATGGCAGCTGTTCTATACTTTAATTAGATTTCTGCACCTACTAAAACACCAGTCAAGAGGGTTTTTTTTCACTTCTGTTTCAGATAAGAAACATGATTATCAAACCCTTTCATGATCTGCGTTAATGGAGGTAGCAACAATACATTTTTAAAAACATAAATTCCTCATAATTCACATTTCAGCCCATAAAATTGTTCATGATGCTAATTTAATCACTTTTAGGATGCTCCTGTAGCTTTGATATCATTAAGTTGCTGGTTTGTTTACCTTTCTGACCTGCTCTAAAACATTGACAATTCAACCTGACAAGAGAAAATTAATTCTCTTGTGTTAGAGAAACAGATTATCTTGGTTATTTACATCTTAATCCACAGTGTAAAAGTGTTTGTCAGGTCAATAAGTGAACCAAGTCCATATTTCTGATGTAATGTTTCCCCTAAACAAATTTTTTTTTGTTTGTTTGTTTTTTAAAAGCACATTTTTTTCCTTATAATCACAATGACAAAGTGATGAAGATAGAACTTCAATTCCTGATAACGTCAGAGCATCAAACCTACCTGACTAGATTTTCATTGTCTCCAGTCCCTTTGCACGTAGCACATTCAGTCCTTAAGTCCTCTGACTTGGGTTTCTTTTGTAGAACAGATTGTCGTTGTCGTCTTTCTCTGGGAATCCGTTCCTATCATAGCAGAAGGCAAAAGAAAGGAATGGGGGGGAAAGGAGGGAAGGAAAGCAAATATTTTCAATTACAGCACTGAAAGTAACACTTCAGTCCAAAGATTAATTTTTTGTGAAACTGTTAAAAAAAACCAAACAACAAACAAACCAAAAAAACAAACTAAAAAACAAAACACTGTTTTCCAACCTCAGGCTTTTCTTCTTCAGGCACAAAGCTTCGTTTTCGTCCTCTAGTTCTCTAGAAGAAAATATATTTAAAATCCAATATTAGGTAACAGAATGTTTTTGCTAATTATTTAATATTCATAACAACCACAAAAACATACTACAGGAAATAATTTCAAGCACTAACTACAGAACCACTGCAAGACAGCTACAATAACTGATGTTAGAACAGCAGCTTCAAATTCTGTTTATAAATCTACAAAACTAGCAAAAAAGTAAATATGAATACATTTGTTGACCTGAGCATGCAGAGTCCTTTTCTAAAAAAAAGACTGATGCCAGAATTATAAATCTCTTGCAGACTTTCCACAAACTTTCCAATACTAAAATGGATAATTTGAAAATCAATATGAACAGTATATTACAGTAAATTTCTTGAGCATTTAGAAGTGATTTATTTGTAAGTCAAGTGACTGGATTCAAAAAAATCAGAACTAAAAAACCTCATTGAAACAGAAACAGAAAATAATTCTTACGGCTGTTGAGGAAGAAGCAAGAATTAAAGCTTTCAAACGGAAGCTCAATAAAATGGGTATATGGCAGATGCTCACAAAGCTGTAGCATATACCAACATATGACTGGTACGCAACACATGGAATGGGTAATAAAAAAATTTGAAATTATTTCAGTATTGCAGTTGGCCAAAAAGTCTACATACCAACAGTGTGGAAGAAAAGACATGGACTGTAACAGCAAACACCAAAGGTTTACAAACAGCTCTAAGTAACTACATGCAACTCACATAAGTCCAGTTTCAGTCACTATGTTTTTATCTCTGAAATAGCAGCATCATAACCTGCATGTATTAAATAACTGCCACAAGCTGACAATATCACAGTCTCTCCTCCATGTTTAACAAAGAAAGAAAATTACAAGGGATGCAGAAGGAAATGAAAAACATTAGAGACTATTCCACTAATCCACAATGTCTGATACATTGACACTAATTAATTAAATAAATGGGAGGAAATCATCATCTTAGGAAGTCACTTGTCATATGATAAAAAAGAACACCGCCTACTTTATGATCTCTTAAAAATTTTTTTTGAAGCAGCTAGTGTTCATCTCAGAAAAAGTAAAAACAAGCTGGTCAAAAAAATCTTAAGCCAGTTGAGAATGACAAGCAGCCATAAATCCAATCCCGAAGATGCTAGCAGTATCATGTTTCCCCTGTTTGGGGACCTCTTTGAAGGAGATTAATATTAGTTTCAAATTAAGACTGTTTACTATTTTAAATTGTTTTACACATTTAAGTATAATTATACTGTAAATAAACCTGCCACTTCAATACATCTATCTTTTCTATCTATGCCCATTCTGATTAAAAAATCACTGTCTTTATATGCATCTTGTACTTGTTAACATCTCTGTTTCCAGATAAATTCTGAATATGAGTAAGTTTATCTCAGTTGTAGTATTTACCATCGGACATATATAACACTGTTCCTTTAAGCTTTTCTTTTATAAGAAATCTTACATTTTAAATTGTTTATGGCAAGTATATGCCATTCTAGTATTTTATGGTTATAATCTCTGATGCTTTGATTCTTAGAGTACTAATGACAGAAGTTATTAAAGCATTTTAAAATGCAAATGCAGTACTTTGAAGCAAACAGCAACAAAAAATTCTGGACAAAGTAATCCAGGTTTATCTGACTTTTCTGTGAACCTGTAAGGCAACTTCAGTAAAAACATATGAAAATTAAATTACAAATGCCTAATTACTGGAAGGCTATTACTGAAAAATCACTGAATATTCCATTTTCAGTTGTGAATTTGATATTATTTCCCATTGTGATTGCTGGCAATTGTATAATGATACCGAGCAGAAGTTAGCATTGCAAAAATGTTTAAATGTGGAAATCAGTTTGGAAAAACATTAATTCATTCAATGTGCACTCAAGTAAGAGATGTGTGCTATGTGCTCAGACATCTCCCTGTTAATAGGAAGATTCCAGCCACTGAGCTTCAGATCCACAGCACCAATGGAATCACCATGCAACTACATTCTGGTTACTACAGAGGCAACTTAAGATTTGTGTTGGCAAATACATTATATGCCTATAGCTAAGGGCTGATCCTACGGGACCTTAACTACCCCAGAAAATCAGACAAACTTATGCCAAGGTCATAATCATGACACACAAGGCAGATACTATTCTTCATTTCATATCCTTTCACAATTAGGGCTCTTAAGTCATGAAAATAAATCAATAAATAGACGCTAAAAACAGCCAAATTAGTAAAATTTGACCTCCTAATACTGTACCATAATATTCTCATTCCTCCCCTTCTCTAGTGATTCCTTAACCTCTCCTTCTCTACAACATTCAAACCATGTCTCCCACCATATGCCCAAGTTCTCCCTGTGTTCCCCAACTAAAGTGACGACACACTAGGACAGGTTCCAAACTACACATGTTCTACACTGGACAGCGAGAGACCAAATGCAAAGGATAACTGAAACCTCTTCCTTCCTCAGCACTCATCCTTCCCACCCAGCTGCTCTAAAAAAATAGGCAAGAACATAATTACCTTAGGCGTACCTCTCTATCAAATCTTGCCATAATGGGTCAACAGGTTACTAGAGGCAATGCTGCTAGAATGGCAGCCAACTGCATAATTTATTTTTGTTAGAAAACCAGGTTAAAAGCTATTATTTTCTGAAATAAAGAAACAGTCAAAAAAAATCTAGCTGCTGTGTCATAAAGAACATACCTTACACTAAACAGAAATGAAAGAGAAAATTAGTATTTTCTTTCGTTAGCAATACATCCCAAAATAATCTGAGCAGACCAGGAAAGATCAATGAATTAAAATTAAGATGCAAGCATAAAATGAAAGTACTTTTAAATAAGGAAAGAACAAAAAAGATGAAAAATTAAAAATAAAAATAGATTACATTTTTAGCATAACATTTTGAGGGGAAAAAACCCATCTCTCTAAGTCAGCAAACTGACTTCTAATTAAACTCTTCAAAATCGGGTTAGATGGTGTTCCTTGGGTAGACAGATTGAGTTCATCTGGTTCACTAAAGTCATCCAGGTGAAAGCAAGCCATCTTTTCCAAGAACATCTTGCTAAGGGTTAGCCTTCACAGCAATCTTAATGCCCTCCCTCAGAATAGAGCAATGCTCTGCATAAATGAAACCTAAAAACTCAAAATATTCCTTTTGGCCTTTACCTCAAAGCTTGTCATCTATGGAAGTTGGAGAACCATCCCACAGTATTAAAGCATACCCCATGCCTCTGAGTTATTTCATTAACTTCTGACTTTGCGTTCAAAATGTGGGGGGAAAAAAAACCCAACAAAACCTGCCTCTTGCCTCTCCAGTGAGGCAATTCACACAGAACGTTACAGGGCTACTTGCAGAGAAACAGTGCTGGACACAACATGCAAATTACTATCAAAGCTGAAAAGAAAAAGAAGTAGAAAAAAAACAGCATTTGCTTGCCCCTCTCTACTTCAATTTGTAATGATTTAAGCTGACAGTTACTAAAATAGTCCATAAAATACATAGTATTTTATAATACAGAACATAAGTAATAAAACACAATTAAAAAAGAATCTCAGGGAATGCCTCTAAAAAACAGGAAGACATTAGGAGAAGTAGGGCAAGAGAACGATAAATAAAAAAAACGGGTTTCTTTCAGGCATCATGTTTTGTGACACAGAAGTCTGCATCCGCTGTGTGCAGCATTCTACTGTTGTGGTGTGGAAACTTGCACATCAGGTTAGGGAATTAAAAAGAATTAGGACATAAATGGCTGAAAAATAGAATACTAACATAAGAAATGAATAATGCATGATGAAGTAACACATGGTACAACCTGATGTGGATCAAACGCATGAGTGATTTGGAACTAGGGTGACATTTTTAGAAAATATATGGAGAAGAAATCAGTAGAGGTGTGGGGATAACATGATTCCAGCTCATGGAAGGAAATACTATACTCCAGACACTTGGAAAACCAGATAGTTAAAAAAACTGTCCAAAATAGAATGACGAACGTTGAGGGAAAAATGTGATCAACAATGGGATCAAATTGTCAACCCAAAAGCGGGAGAAGAAAGACTGAAGTGGGAGTCTCCATTTTGGACCTGGAAAAGCTAGAAGTGAACACTTAAATTTCACATTCAAGTTGTTCATAAGAAACTCAGTAATAACTGGCCAACAATACAAAACATATGTAAAATAAAAAAAAATAAATCAGATAATGCACTGACTGTAAGACTTCAAATACTCTCAGGAAAATAAATTCCATACATGAGACAAATGAAAAGACATCTGTAAGGGACCAGTAAAGCCTAGGATGAGTCCAACACTCTCTGTAAGGAAACAGACTGTTTCCAAAACACCAAAGGAAACAAAGCAACAAGGCAAAGCTGCAAAGGAAACAGACTGGCTGCTGTCACTCACAGATGCAACAAGTCGATATGTTAGTTTCTAAGCATGAAAGCAGAATGGTGAACAAGACAGAATGGGTGCCCACATGACCCAAAACCACCACCACAGCTGTAAGCAAACCACAGCATTATGCCTCTCTCCTTTCTCTCTAAGACACATCCTTTAAATCAGTTCATCCAAAGACAGCAACAGAAGGCAAAACGTTCACTTGCAGCAGTTTTGCTTTGCCAACTCAAAGAAAAGGAAACCCAAAAACTCGTCAACTGACCAAAAGGGGGTAGGTAATTCCCAAGAGTCACAAGTGCTCTACTTAAATATTGAGCATTTCCTGAAGTGCTCCTGGAGGACAAAAATTTATACTGTCACCTATTTAATTTCTTCTTCTACACAAGAAGATATACAGGAGTTATCAGTATTACAAATACATGGACAAGAACATGAAATACTGAACACGTGTGTGGCTAGCAGCAATGCTTCAAGTCTACTTCACATATGTGAACTAGCATAGTTCTGGATTTCATCTGCTCCGCCACTTTTTTTTTTTTTTTCATTAAACCAAGGGTGATTTCTGCATGGCAATTCCAAAAAGCTATTTGAGAATGTGA